ATCTGACTGTAAACATAATAACATACGTCCATTGTTAACGTCCCACAACTTTACTTCAGTAGGTCCATCACTAGTTACCAGTCTATTTCCGGTAGGTGAAAAGGAGCAACAACAGATGTTTCCACGTAGAAAACTAAATTTCATTAATGCTGAATAGTCATAGATGTCATACTGGGATTTAAATGTGTCTACATCATCTACATTATCCCACTTATCCAACCTTGAATCATCGAGTGCAGTGCCGAGGGTCCATCGTTGTTTAAATTCAGGAAGTTCAGAAATAGATATTTGACCATTTTCATATCCTACAGCAAGAAGTTCTTCATTGGACGACACACAAAGAGATGTAACGTTAGCACGCAAGGAGACAGTCAAATGATGATGGTTTGTTAAATATGTTGAGTCTAAATCCTCAAACCAAACAAACTTTCCTTGTCTCAATAAATCCCTTGCCAATAATCCATTTTCTTTACTGCCATGAATTCTGTTTGCAATAATTTGTAAATAAAAAAAGTTTTCATCAAACTTTTGCATCGCATATTTATGTGTCGTAAGCAAATCAATTAGTGCTTCTTCAATTACATCTTTTTTCAAGAAAGTACGTATCTCCTTAATGATTTCAAACAATTCAGAGCTAATGGTATACATGTCAATGTTTTCCACACCCATTAACCTCGCACAAACCACTTTGACATCTACTGCCCAGCTAACGTCAACATTTTCGCCACATGTTGACATATGATAGATTCCATTCTTCAAAGCATATTTAATCATAACAGTGTTCATCTGATCTTCAAAAATGTTCATCGACTTAATTTGTTCAAACACTTTCTCACAAGCATGCCATAAGAACTTATGACCATTTTTTGGATCAACTGTAAACTCATGCTGTTCGTAACCATCTGATTTCAACCAATCAATGAGAGATTTGTGATACACGGTTAAACAATCATCGTAAACTGGCAAAATTTGAGATAACGGTTCAATGATTTTACTGTGGACTTCAAACTTGATGTCACCAGAAAAACCTAAAAAGCTAAACAGGAAAGTTAATGGCAAAAACTCCCGAGAGGCAGCCAACAATTCAAGAAATTGCATGAAAGTAGTTTCTGAGGTAACAAACTTTTTGGGACTTTTCTTCGTTAACAATTCTTTTACTCTTTTGAATTGCTTTGTGTAAACACCACTTAACCCACTAGGGACCAATTGTTTAATATTCTCGAAAGTTATCTTAAATTTTTCTTTTTTTAAGCTTTCTTGTGCGTGGTAAGCGTACAGAAACGAACCCTCGCATTTTTCAACTAACAAACGAAAAACCTTGTCGTTATAACTGAAGCAATAATCGTCATAACTGTCATCACTGTCATCACTGTCATCACTGTCTTTGTGCCAGAAGTCATTAATGATGAAATTAACATTCAACTCATGTGCTAAATACTTGCACAGATCGTATTTGTTCTTTGTATCATGAGGTTTAGTTTTTATTTCTACAGGATTCATGTCTTTCAACTCCTTTTGAATAGGAAGTTCTGGACGACTGGTGATGAAGATTTTAATCCATTTAGGCAGACGGCCAAATTCTTCAGTAATTAATTCCAATAATTCACTTTTGCCCTCAACTTGACTTTCATCTAAGGCATCAATAACCAAAAGCATTTGTTCATGATCTTCCAATGAATGCAATGGGTTATTTAATAAAACAAGGAATTTATCGGTGATCGATTCTTTGAAATTATTTCTCTGTAATTGTTCATTCAGTTTACTTTTAAAATTTGATATTGTATCACACATGCTACTGGCCAATGATTCTATCAATATTCGAGGATTTCTATAATCTGATCTATTATATCTGCAGAAATGAGAAGCAGCAAGTTTCTTCTTTTCAGAATATCGTCGACACACCTCAGCAGCAAACACACTTTTACCAACGCCAGGATTGGCAATCAAAACCATGACATTAGAAGCATTTTCCCTTCTATCGTTAAACCATGTGTCGAGTTTTTCAAATAACCATTGCCTAGTACCTTTAAGGTATTTCTTGTTAAGATCTTTTATAAGACCATTAAAACTACACTTTCCAAGCTTCTGAATATCTGAGCATATTTTGTCCTGTATCATATCTCTTACTCCAACAACATCAGCTTTTGTTGCTATCACTTGTGAAATTTCATCTACATCAGCTTTTGTTGACATCACTTGTGTAATTTCAGCTACATCAGCTTTTGTTGCCATCACTTGTGTAATTTCAGTTACATCAGCTTTTGTAGCCATCTCTTGTGTAATTTCAGCTACATCAGCTTTTGTTGCCAACTCTTTTGTAATTTCAGCTACATCAGCTTTTGTTGCCATCTCTTGTGTAATTTCAGCTACATCAGCTTTTGTTGCCATCTCTTGTGTAATTTCAGTTACATCAGCATTTGTAGCCATCTCTTGTGTAATTTCAGCTACATCAGCTTTTGTTGCCATCTCTTGTGTAATTTCAGCTACATCAGCTTTTGTAGCCATCCCTTGTGTAATTTTAGCTACATCAGCTTTTGTTGACACAATTTCTTTAATTTCCTCCACGTCATTTTTTATATTTTCCACATCTTCTTTTGTTTTCTCAGCAACAGTGCACCAGTTTTTTAACATTTCAATATAATTTGCCTCATCAGCAGTGAGTGGAGCTTTCTTTAATTCATCTATTTCAGTTTGTTGAATACCCAGACCAACCAATGCTTTTGAAATTTTCTGCCACAAGTACTCAAACTCACTATCATCTACACTAATTTTAGTTATGTGACCGTAAACTTCGTTTCGATAAAACTTTATTCTTGCAATGTCTGCTGAGACTGAGGTATCTGAAGAGGAAGGAAGATTATTCCATCCACCATGTGGCGCTGTTAGATTACATATATTTCTCAACAAGACAGTCAATAATGAAATATCAAAGTTTTCAATGTCAGGTGAACCAGTTGACGGGTAAAGGAGGTTCCATTGCTCCTTGCTGATGACTTTGAATTTTAGTGATGTCAATTTACTCTTGATAGAAGGATCATTAAGTTTATCTTTTAAGTTTGATGATTGAAAATTTATAATGAATTGCAATGTTGTTTTTAAGGCTTGTGTTCCTTTATTTATCAAAAGTTTGCTTAAACGAGATCCGTTTGCCTCAAACTTCAGTTTTTTAGGTGGTGAAGCCATTTTTCAAGCTTGAAATGAAGAACGAGTTTGTGCAAAATGCATCAATTTGCAATGTACAAAATGAGCACAACGAGATCCATTTCCTCAATCTTTAAATTATTAGGTGGCGAAACCATTTTTTATTCTAGAAATAAGGAATGAGTTTGTGAAAAAAGGTATAATTTAAAACGTACAAAATGTTTACAAATGTTAAAAGGATAAATTAAAATAGTACTACAAGTCATTTATAAAGACTTGTGTGTTGCATTTCTCTCGATAAAATTGTGTTCACTGCCTAGTGACATGACCAAGTAAATGATCTTACATCAAGGCATTAAAATAGTAGATTTGATAAAATGATAAAACACTTAAAATAATAATATTTTTGCCTACTCGGCGCGAGAGGCAGCATACCTTGCGATAGTAACTCCTAGTTAATAAATAATATATCTTATTTGTCTAACAATCGTGTGGTGAAGAGATACGTCATTCTTTTAACAGGATATATCAAAGTGGTTTGCTGTGTTGTATGAATATTTGCTTATTATCATTTCGATAGGACTATATTGCCGACGATTCTGTTCCAATTTAAAATTTTTCTAAACTACAGTTTAGCGGACACAGGAAGCGCTTGTAACCGTAGGCTCGTTTTTGCTTGGGATTATAGGGTAGAGTTTGGGTCAGCGTTAAGGTGTCCGATAAAATGCAGTAGTCCCTCATAGGATATATTTGACGTCTGTAATCACCAGTAAAGCGTATAAATGAATGATATTTTCAGCTGCAAGGTTTTGACTATAGTCACTAAAACAAAAGGCAGATTATACGCTCTAAAGCATAGGTAATTGAAGAATAACATATATGTTATTCACTCATACTGAAGATAACATCATGAGATGTCGAAACATGTCTATTTTCCAAAAACTTGTCGTTTATATTTAATTCGCATTAGCAATAGTGCTTTTACGAATTTATGGAAATAACATAAGTATTGACTTTACTTAAAAAAATTCTATTCGTGATCGTTCGCATATGCGACTATCACCGATGACACAGTCGAGGAAATCACGACGAACAAACACTGCCTGCATCACTGCTTCACTCAGACACTTTTTCAGTATGGCATAGTGGTTAGCCGCGCATGCACAGCGGCTACCTACAAAAACTAACTAGTGATAAATTATATTATTGTTATAATACAGTATGCCACATGCCTGCTCATCTTGATAACACTTAAAGTGTGATTCCGTTTGAAGATGCTACGAGAATTTCAAAAAGTTAGCAATTGATGAATGTCTTCCGCATGATGAGATAACGTAAGAAAAGTACAAATAATACACAAATCATTAATTACTTTTCTCTAAACTTCAATTTTGCAATATTCATGTGTCCAAATGGGGGAGGCGCTGGCCCCTATTATATTACTGGCCCAAGGCAAAATGCTCTCTTGCCTATTACCTCACGGCGGGCCTGACCTGACAGTCAGTGAAAATTTCTCAACTTTGTGTTGTTGCACAATTTAATTCAAGTAACTAAAACAGTTAGACACGTTGCAAAACAAAACAAGTATCTTGATTTCAGTTTCTCAGTGTACATGCTGAATCAAAGTTCGTCTAAGAATAAATTACGTGCAAAATGAATGATGATGAAATGTATACGTTATCATGAGCTCATTTTGACCTCTGGAACCTAATCTTTCCTTTACATTTGTACATTGTACTGTTTACTTAAGTTTAATTTATTTTAAAAATGTCACATTATGACGTGGCATTTATGAATGTCAAGCGCATCACTGACTCAAAATTATTTATTATTAAACCTTTCCTTCGTGTAAGAGCCGCAATTTTATGGTCATAATTTGAAACAAAAAATGAAACCTACTTTCCAGTCGTGGTATTAAATACAGCTTTAAAAGTCACTTATAGAATTATTCAAACGATTTTCATTTGGAATGAAATAAACATTTATTTGTTTATAGTCATACTTCATACTACGTAATGCTTCGGTATCAAATTTGTTAAATTAGAAATGTAAATACAGAATCTCAGTTAATTTACGTAAAATTACCTTTGTTTTAGAAATAAAACTTCATATACGACTTTCATGTGGACAAAATTATGCTTGCTTTAGTTCTTTACATGTTACGCACCTAACAAAAGATGTGAAATTTAATATAAAAAACGCGACTACATACTACATATCTGTTAAAAATGGTGATCATAATTCATATATTATTAAAACATCCACTTTTACCCATATGAGTTTTGTTACATATTTGAATAACGAACGAAGATTAAGAATGAGTCAGGATCTCCTTCAACAAACAGTATTAAAAAACATTAATGACGTATATGTGTAGAACATTTTAGTTATATAACTAAGTATACATCACTAACTAAAAACAATTGTTATATAAATAAAAATACATAAACAAGAACCTCATGCAGAGTACATATTTATTATTGAAATTAGTAAAATTCCAAAGGACTGCTGTTAAACGGTATAAAGTTTCGCAAGTTTTAAGTCAGGAATAGAGAATCACCTATCTAAGACAGGATTTGAATTCCAATGACAGGTTAGTTTTACCCTACTGTTGAAGTGTTGTTGCAATAGTAATTCTGCTCAGTACGAGAGGATCCGTAAATTCAGACTATTAGCTCATGCACTTGCCTGAAAAGACAATGGTGCAAAGCTACCATCTGTTGGATGGATGATTGAACGCCTCTAAATCAAAATCCGTGCTAGAACGCAACGATTTTTTTCTCTGGACGACTTAAGCGAACTAGAATACTGTTAATGGATTTTAGAAACTGTAAATGGATTTCTTTCGTTCGTCCATCAAAAATTCCATACATGTATATTCTTGCATAAGTCAGTTCATATTATAAAAAATCTTTGTAATTAAAAAATTTTGTAAATTATGAGTAAATTTCAAACATCAACTGCAAGAAATTGTAATTATTTATAAGTTCAATAAAAAACACTGTAGATACAACAGTAAAGGATGCAATGAAAGTAAACTATAAAACTGTTAAACAAACATAATCAAAAGTATAATTTTAAAAGCTCATTGTGTTGCATGAATCAACATTTCACAAAAATAAATTCGGTCGTGTTCATTCTCTGTGTGTAAATACATTCTTCCAGTGTTCAACATTTGCTTATTTTTCAAATTTTCTTACTTTTAAAAGAAATGGTTTGTTATATACAACCATCAACATTTTTCTAGACACACAGAGATTAGTCAAAAGCGGCGTCAGCAAAGAAGGGAGGTGATGCATGATTGGACATGTGACCCCCTCCCTCCTACATAAATTTTTACAGATAAAACATTTTTCCATAGATAAGCATAGTTTATAAAGAAAAATTCAGCGTCCAACATGTAGAAAATGTTCTCATGTTATTCAGCCTACACCATAGTTTTGAGCAGGTTTTAATGTCCTTTACAATGCAGCTTATTGTCAATAGTTAGAAAGTTGGTATATCAACTTAAATATAATTTCTCTTGAATGTTTGGTCATACATTATCCAGATGCTTCATTAGCAAATTTGTTATGTAAAGTTAGTAATATAGTTTCAGAATCTCTCTTTACTTTCGACAAATTACCTTCGTTTTAGCAATTAGACTTCATATATGACGACTGTGTAGACCAAATTGTGCTTGCTTTAGTTCTTTACATGTCGCATACCTTATAAAGATGAGTGATTTAATATAAAGAGCACGACCACATAAATGTCAATTTAAAAATTGTGATCATAATTCATACCATACTGTTACATCAATCTTTTTTCCATGTAGGTTTTGTTACATAAAAACATTTAAATAGCGAACGAAGATGAAGAGTGAGTCAGGATCTCCTTCAACAAACAGTATTAAAACACATTAATGACGTCTATGTAGAACATTCTAGTTATATAACTAAGTATACATCACTGACTAAAAACAATTGTTATAGAAATAAAAATACATAAATAAGAACCTCATGCAGAGTATATAATAACATTGAGATTAGTCAAAATCGAAAGGACTACTGCTAAATCTTATAAAGTTTCACAAGTTTTAACTCAGGAATAGACGATCACTGATCTAAGCAAGATTAAATGTCAATGTTATGACACGACTTTGGAAACTGTAAACGGATTTTTTACTTCATTAATCAAAAATTCTATACATACATATTGTTGCACAAGTCACTTTATTTTATAAAGAAACCTTGTTATTAAATAAACCATTGTAACTTACGAATACATTTCAAACATCAACTGCACGCAATTATAACTACTTAGCTATGAGAAAGAACACTGTCGATACAACAGTAAAGATGTAATGAAAATAGTCATTAAGATAATGCTAGTCTCATATGTGAAATGACGCTGAGAAGCACATTGTAGTTTAAAAATCTCAATCTCAAACTATCTACTATCAAGATTAATCTCTGTGTATTTGGTGTTATCATTTCTCTCTATATCATTAGGAGTGTATTTGGTAAAGGCATAAAACATTTCACTTCATGGTAGGGGAGAAAAATGTCAAATGGTGTGTGCTAATATTATTTTGCTAAGCGTATTACCGTGAGTAATGTAGAAATTCGTCACATTGCTCATGTTTAAAGCAATATTTTAAGTAAAAAGGACCCCTTAGTGAAATGAAAGAATCGTGTTATTTTCATTGTGTACGCGAATCACACTTCCATACTGTATAAAATCATTTTTATTTTCTCGCTAAGTCGGTTGATGCAGAAGATTAAAAAAATTTGTCTTAGAAGATCTGACTGAGCACAAATCTTGCGTACATATTTTTTTTCAAAATTTATGCCACTATATTTATTAAACGCAGTGTTTTGGGAGATATACCCAAAGGCCGAGAAATAAAAAATAAGTGTGTATATTCAAGATAGCTACAATAAATAATGTTATGACAAGTGACTTCGCTTGGCCCCAAATGTGGACACTGTTTTTTTTTTCAAAACAAAAAGAAATGGGAGGGAAAACCGGTAGATCCGGTAAAAAACCCTCCAATCAAAAAAAAGATCAAAATTTAGAAAAATTTCTTTAAATTTTTGTTATTTTCAAGATTTTTCATGCATTTGTTGTTTTCAATGATCCCGATGATCTACTTTAACATGCAGCGTAGTCAGATCATCGCTACGTCGTTCGTATATTAAATTTGCAAAGCGGCAAAAAAGCGTCGACAAAAAAAGTTGGCTGACTACCCTATTTATTTACAAAGCAAATATTTTATGTTCGAACAAAAGAAACAAAAACTTTAGTAGAGAACAAAAAATGAAAGAGTGCAGAGTGTTAACAAAAATTTTAATGAATAGACGAAAACATAAAAACTAATAGCAGCTCATACATAAATCATATGAAAAATTCATTCAGTACGTTCGACCTGATCATTCACCTACCAATAACAATGAAAAATGAAATGACCAAAGTGACGTCGTGACTTGCATACAAATTATTTTTGATGTCTACTAGATTTCATTCGATCAAAATTTCTATGTTGCTTCATTAAGACCTTCATTAATAGCTGGCTTTCACTCGTGTGTTTTGTCCAAAAATTTGATAATTGTGAAAATTTAGTTTTACGGAAATTTTTAACGGTTGAATTTAAAAATGCATTAAACTGATTAATAGTATGCATAACGAAAGTCGCAAGTGGGAATCCTTCAATAAGGACGCTTGTTTCTTCGTGCTTCTGTCCAACTTGATCGTTCATTCAATGTCTAGTCACTACCCCTACAGACATAGCTACTCTATAAAAAACACATTATAAATGTCAGCATAATGAATGAATAAAATCAGAAATTATATCTTTTGAAAAGAACAAAACTTTAATACCTGATTTTCAAGCATTGCCCTGGTCCGTCTGAGGCGTCTTAGTAGGTCTCTTCCACTTTTTTCACAGCGCAGTTTTTACGTGTATATCGTAGAAATTTTATTGCAACATTTTTATCTTAAAAATTCAATGAACCCTACTTGCAAGCATTGCAATTTTGTTTCTAAACGTTTGATAAAATTAGTAAAAAGTAGCGAGTGAAAGCCAGCTATTTTCTCACAGCATTTGACATCTCTTATTGAAATTTTTTTTAGCTAATGTAGGTGTTTTTTATGATTATAGTTCAAATTATAAAAATAGACCATCGGAATCATTTTTGAATATCTCATGCAGTTACTCATAGCTATAAATTAATTTTAAAGCTCATCTACTCAACTTACAAACCACAAGACATGGATCATGTTTTTCCCCTCGCTTGTTTTCCATCTTCGTAGATTAAGGTCCAATCATTTCAATACTAATGTTCACATGTACAAATGCCGTTAGCCAATGTCCATTCAATATGTTTGTACCATTCCATACACAAAGTTATCAACGTAACCAATCGAGGGGCTACTGGTATTATGAATCGCCATTTCGATAGATTACTGTTTACAATGCACTCTTATGGTAACTTCAAGTGAAGGAAAAGGGATCACTTCAATACCCCAGTTATATCATCACCCAAAGAATGCTTAGTGCAGATTTGATCTCCTATGAATGTCAGCTGACCACCTTTAGGTGGGCTCATATAACAATGGGGCCCATCATCATTATATGAACAAACAACTGACATCCACAAAAAATGCAAACTACAAATGAACATTCTTGCCCATGAATCACCATGACACATGAGTAATGACAAACTAGTAAGAGTAATTGAAGTGAATGACATTGGTGATAACGGACTTTCACAACTCCATCCATGTGGGATCTACAATATAAGAAAATATGAAACACATTTACGACATTTCGTGATGAAGAGCTCTTCATATGACGTTACTTTGCGTTTTTAAATTCTTAATCAGATATATTGAGAATGAGCAAATTGTTATATGTTTTCTGTTTGACTATCCAAATGGTAGAACATTCACCAACATTGCACAAATAGCTTTAGTTGGTTAAGTTTGAAAGATGTAACAAGTTTCAAACGATCAAAGGCTTTACATCGTTATCAAAGCATTTTACACTGAAAGCTTTCATATTACGAGTCCTACACTTAAGACTAGTTGATTATTCCATGCAACTCATACTTCAGTAATCCGTCAATAAAAAGACAAAATTCACCTTTCTTTCTACAACGTTTAAGTGACTAAGTTTCCGTTGTTAACATTTGCTTAATTTACGTCATGACTAAAATTTTTTTTGTGATTGCCTCCTTAGGAGCTTTTCACTTTTCAGTAAGACAATAAGTAATCCTTCTACGTATTTGAACAAAAAAATTCATTAGAATCTACAATTTTTTGGCGTTTTAATGTCGTTATACAAAGCAAAGATGCAATATATTGTAGGTTAAGATTCATGAGACGATAATGAATTTATAAACTGGACTTTAATCTTGTCCAAATATTCATTGAATCTTCAATCATATGTTGCTAAGTTAAGTTTAGGAGAGAATTTAAGGGCGTTCTGTTTTCCCCGAGGTTCTACTACTAAAAATATAGTAGAGAGTCGTAGAAAAATGAGCAAAAAAACAATTACGGCTCTCGTTCATTGCAAGTCTACACGTTAATCTATGAAAACTGCACTTCTATGCATTGATAGCTTCACAAGAACAATAGAGATAAATGCAAATACAAAATATCATTTATCCTCAGTTTAGTCACTTACATTTGTAGTTTCCAGCCGTAGGATCTATTTTCATACATGATATCGAAACAGGTAACTTCGTGTGTATCATATGTCATAACGGTTTTCCTCTTTCAAATTTCTTTTTGCTGCTGCTATTAACACTTAGGATGTGATACTGATAGTATATATCTGTACATCGTAGCTTTCAAATGTTTAAATATGTGTGGTATTTCCTTGTTGAAGAGCATTCAGATATTGGCGGTCTTGATTTTTTATCAACACGTTTAAGTACATCTGTAATCAAATGAGACGTGTTTCGGTAACTTGTCTTTGAGGAGAGTTGAAGGCAACAACTTTATTTTGCTTGGCACAATCACAAATCTTTACACTTGTCGTCTATTTGTAAAGTCTTGTTCTATCTCATATGAACAACATTTACTTTCCATGACGCCTCGTGGCTTATATGTGGCTTGAAGTGGATGATGTCTTTATAAATAGTGTTAAGCATGTCATTATATGTATTTGTTCCACATGATTGTTTAACCCTCTGGGAGCCGTGAGTTTTTAAAAGTTCTTACATCCCGTTTGGTGATTGTTACCTGTGAGGTACAACGGCCTCTATAGGTTTAAAATTCATTGTTTGTACTTGAACAAATTACCGGATATCTATCAAATCTAATTTTTAAAAACAAAACGTATTGTTGCCAAACAAAAGAACTATGCTCCCTTCATTAATACATACGAAATGCTAATAACAATTGACTATTTTTCAGCGATATTACGTCAATTGTTTATTAATTAAATTATTCCGCACATTAAATAACGCTAATATTTTTATTTTGGGCTTGAAGATATTGGTGGACGCAACAAGGAAACCTTTGGTGACAGCTGGGTGTTATAACTATTGCTACCACCACGACCCTCGAGACACTCAATTCTTCTTTCCAGACCTGTAATTTTGCCATCTAACATCACAAATTTTTTAAAGTAATATGCACGAACCGCAGTGACTTGCTCAACAAGTCTTCGCAATGGAGTGGTAAACTCTGGACGTAGTACGAAGTTACCAAGCTGTATAACAAATGCCATAACATATCGTAACAAGAGGCTCACGTGATTAATTGGAGTGTCATTCATATGTTGTCTGATCTCCTTTCGTTTTAAAGTCTGTGTAGTGAGAAAAAGATACTGCCAGCA